TAAGGCATCATCCGGTTATTCCGAAAGGAAACTCATTTCCACATTACGTTATTTGGGGAAAGATTAAAGAAATCCATTTCTATCCTGTGATTGAAGTGTTGTGACATGATCTACAAAATTTAATTTCATCTAAACATCCGAATAGGAATCACCTGAATTTCGGTTCTATCAAAGACAAATTTCGCCATACTGTCCGCATCAAAACCTTGTCGAGTGAAATCCATCTGATCGGCTTTCTTTCGAGAGCCTTTTGCCGGGAAATGCAACAGCACAGGAGCAACATTCAAATTCATTGACTGAAACACTTGCGGCGCTTCCTCGTAATCGACGATCGCGAAGTACAACGCCTTCAGCTCAGGGTAAGCGTAACGATACGAATTCGCCATAATATAGAATTCATCGTAGGCTGGTCTGAAATTGATTACTGAGTCAATAATACCGAAAACAAAAACCATCCAATGAGATGAGCAATAGAACTAACTTGCAGATATGACAGTTGACACTGGCCGAAAGTGCGGTGAACATAACAATCATTGAATAGTTTCGAGGTGAACTTCTCACGTAACTCTTCCAACGGTCCATATTCAAATTCACCAACGGTCTTTTGTACATCCATTCCTCAAAAATCGACTCCACATTTACGAATGAAACATTTCACGGAGTCGGAAATAGCCGATTGTCGTAACTATTAATATTAGATTATATTGTGGCAAACGCTCCAAACAGCAATTGACTTGATGTTGATCATTGTGCTTTTAGACCAGCTCGGTAACTCCAATACCCCTTTCGACGGTTTGGCAAGCCAAGAAGAGTCATTACCCGCCCCCCCCCCCCCCCCCCCNTTCCACGCATAATGTCAGAACTAAATTCCCGATCCCTCCATTGCCTCCTTGACAGACCATGTTCTAGACTCGCCCGCTCATTGGTTAATTGTCAGGCAGGATACGGTGTAAAGGGGCATCTCAATCGCATCAAGTGCTTGTTCTCATTGGCCGCATTCCCATCAGGTGACCAATCTGTCTCAGATACCATACTGTCTTTTCCCATCACTGTGAATCAGCATTCATGAGCCCGTATATGATGCACAGCTCACGTCTATCAATAGCTGCAAGTGCCAGTGCACCTATATTGTGTTTGTGATTACATCTGTATCGAACATTTTTATTGATGTGTTTTAAATCCTAACAGATGACTGTGATTCGACGTTGCCTCCATCCAACAACACTTCAATCAATCACCAACCTGAAGAGTCCTGACTTTTTCATCGAGGCTCATACCCTTCTGACATGTCACTTCACCGACAAGTAACGCTGCCAACACCCAGTAAAAACACTGCATCGTTGTAGCAGTATTCTAGAAATAAGGTCAATCAAGAGCTTATTTTGGAAATGCTTCTAAATCGAGAACGAGATATCGTTTCCTTTATTATCACCATGACGATATGGCAACAGCTGAGATGAGATAGATAGATAGTCTGTCGCTAAGAGCAGATGTTGATCAACGAAGCACAATCAACAAGACATTTAAGAGTCTAAAATTTTGATAAAGTATTTTATTCAGTTTCAGTTGAAAACATTCTGATGAATTCGAATACAAAAGAAAATCTTTGGATGAGATTTCAGTGGAAAATACAAATTTACTGGTAACTCAACATCCAAAGGGCACATTCAAAATAAATGACTACAGCAAACATACACAATTACATACAAACTTTTCAGGTAAATGAACAATATTTTCAGCATTTGATTCGTAAAACTAATAACAATAATGATAACACTAATAATAATACAACAGTAACAACCATAAATTGAGATAATAATGAGGAGATCACCCATCCAACCACCATTATTAACAACAACACCAATGGAATCTCCTCGAGAACATAATATTCTTTCACTTCGACGACAAATCATTTTTTTGTTGTGCCAAACCCTCCAAAACCCATCATAGCCGCAACTTCATCATCTTCTTGAACCTCAACCTCAGGTCCTCTTTTTCGCTTTCGTTGCTCTTGTCTCTTCGCTCGTTTATAGTCAGCCATTCGAGCCTTGAATTTTTTCAGCATTTATTCCAAATTCAGTGAAGATATTATTGAACAAGAATGAATAACAGGCCACGAATTCGACCGAATAATCAAAAACTAATCAAGAGAACCGAACTCACCTCCTCTTCTTTAATTTCTTCCATGCGTTCCTGTATATCATATTCTTTCTTTTTCACTTCGGCTGAAAGAAAACGAAATTAAGCTTTCTTGCTCACTGTCAGAAAGGAATAGAAACTGACTCCAAAAAGGAAGTTTCAATCGACAACTAACGCTGTACGATTTAAAATATTTCAAAACAGTGCTTTACAATTTACATTCTACATTACTATAGTATTACGAAAATGATATGCGCAACATATTAATGAATTAACAAATGAATACTAATGAATGTTCAGATCGAAGAAGATTCTCTCCGAAAGTGAGCAAAAGAACAAGCGAACCTTCAGCCTTCTTATACGAGAATCTCTTCCTGACATCATCGAGTGTGCTTCTCTTGATTTTCATGCTCATTCCCATGTTCCTCTGATGATTCTTTCCATTAATATGATCCAAAAAATTGATCGAATCCTTAACCACACAATCGCAAACATCGCAGTAATATCCACCGGTCTCTGCTGACGGCGTTGTCTTGTTTATCACTACCGTTCGACCCACTTTCGATTCCAAATCTACCTGAATTTAGAGAAATTCATTAAAATTTGATATGTCTGATATGAATGACATTAATTCCTTGTGACTATACTAATTTCTGCATTATCACTGGATCGAGTGAGTTGAATTTGAAGTTTTGAATATTATTACTGGACTGAGAGATACCAAAAATTCATTTCGCATAAGCTATGAATTCACATTGATAATAACCATACAGATAGCAATAAAGATATTATGTTATGGAAACAATAACAATAATAATATAATTATCATAATAATAATATAAAATAAAAATAATACAAGCAACAAAAATGACAATAATAATCCACCTTATATTCACGAGCTTTCAACAGCTCGCGTTTAACTTTATGTTCGTCAGGAAATTTATAAGTTGTTTTCTTTTTGGTTTGCTCTTCGGCCTCACGTTCGGCCAGAATTCGTTCACGAGCCTTTCGCTCGTACTCTTCTCTGTCCCATTTGCGTCGATGGTCTGGTGCGGATGGACCGCTTCCGGATGCTTCGTAAAGAGACATCTTTCCTGTGAACACAACTCGCTAGAGGAAGATTTGAAGTTCGACGAGAATCGACGTTTAGGAATAGCGGTTCGAGTGCACAATAACAAAAACAAATGCAGCCACCATAATTATAATAACAAAAGGCGCACCGAGTGACCTGGAAAAAGAGGTCGGGTTCGGTCGGAAATGAGATGGCCAGACCGCATATGCAAATTCGCAAGTCAAACATGGATGAGAAGTTGTGAAAGCTATTAACTGTGATAATTGGATGATTTTCGAGAGGCTTACTTGCGAATGTACATTCATCAGCTTATTGAAAGTAAATTAATAAACAAAATAAATAAATAAATAATTTTAAAAAATACTAATTTCAAGAAACAAATAACAATAAAGAAACCACAATAATGGCGATAACAACAGTGAAACGTGGCATTAAAATTTGTTTTCGGATAAACTATATGAACATAGTGAAAATGCATATGTGTACTGATTATTCATTCACATGCAATGAGCATGGCATGGAGACGTTGAAAGTGTTCAAAAGAAGCTGTGACAACATGAAAGTTCATTNTCGAGGAGAATTGACGAGAATCGACGTTTAGGGATAGCGGTTCGAGTGCACAATAACAAAAACAAATGCAGCCACCATAATTATAATAACAAAAGG